TACGTACGACGTAATAAACTACGACAACCAACCTACCTACCGTCCCTTCCTTCCTCCTCTACTCTACTACTACTACTACTAACGAACCACCCAACCTCTCTCTCTCTCTCTCTCTCTCTCTCTCTCTATTTCTCAATCATAAACCCACAAAACCCCCTTTTTCTCTCTAAAAACCAGAATAATCTTAAAGGAGAAGCATGTCACACAAGGGGGGCATGGGTGATGGCATGGGCGACATGCCCATGCCAGGCAACCACAACACAGGGATGCATGACCATCCCATGAAGAAGATGATGATGCACATGACATTCTTTTGGGGAAAAGACGTGGAGATCCTCTTCGACGGCTGGCCGGGCGGGGGCCTGGGTATGTACATTCTCTCTCTATTCGTCGTATTCTTCCTCGCCATTTTGCTCGAGTTCCTGTCAAACCGCGGGCTCGTGCCATCGCGCGTGGCCGGAACCCTTGTGCACGCGGTGCGAGTTGGGCTCGCCTACCTGGTTATGCTCGCCGTTATGTCGTTTAATGGAGGGGTTTTGGTGGCTGCGGTTCTGGGGCACGCCGTTGGGTTCGCTATGTTCAGCCGTGGACCCAAGCCTGGGAGCGAGCCCGTGGGCTCCGCGACCGAGACCATGCCGGGGATGAAATGTTAATGGATCATCTCATGTGTCTCTTGAGCTCTGTTTGGCTCTCTTTCTCTCTCTAAATTTACATGTCTCTCTTTCTTGTAGGTCTTGTCTCAATTTCTCTCTCTAAATTTGCATTTTCTCTCTCTAATCCTCTTTCACATACTCTCTCTCTCTATCAGCCCACCGTAATAAAAGTAATATGAGTTAACTGTTGGGCATCATAGATCTTATCTTTTGCATTTGTGTATTTGGATTAATATAAAAAAATCTGGGAATTGATGTCAGGAATGTTTGGTTTCCTCAATTCAAAGTTCTTACGTTGATTATAGAGAGGGTATGAAACCACAGTGGAAATTGAAAGGTATTCTTTTGAGAAGTAACTACCTGCTTAAGGATAAATTGGGTTATTTTCAATTTTCAAAATTTATTTTTAACAACAATTTCCCCATCTTTGTGATTTTTTGGTAATGGGTTTTGTGGAAAAGTCGTGGCTTAGGTTATTGGGACTTTGATTTTTATGTGGAAAAAAAGGGCTGATGTGTGGAAAAGTCTAATTAGATTTTTATGTGGAAAAAAAAGGGTTGCTTTTCATGGGGCGAATTTTGGTCTTGTTTATGGCGAAAGTAACATCTACCCAAAATTTGATGCCCTTGTGTGGAAAAAGAAGATCAAATGGTGCCAAATTTAATGACTGTTTTAGTGCGTAGTAACAGCTCACTAGAAGGAGATTTTTTTTTGCTGCAAGACGTTTATATCAAGGGAAATTTATATATAAATACTGTTTTATACATTAACAGAAAAAAAAGTATTGACCCGGTGCTGGTCCCACCTAAGCAAGGCTTCGAGAGGCGTGGGCTGGTAAGGGTCCTAACTTTTTGTCTTAGGCACTTTTTGGCTTGGGCACAAAGGGCCATTCTTGGAACTCAAACCCATGATCTTGTCCTGGCTACCCAAGCTTTTTACGGTCACATCGTCATTACGTACTATTTTTTATAGCATCGAATATATTTTAATTTTAAATTAAGCTAAAATTTGTTTACATTTTCTCTCCATCATGTACTAATAAAAATATTTATATTTAAAATAAATAAAATTATCAAACTGCCCCTAATTTGTAGAGGAGTAATTTGGTAATTTTGTATATTTTAAATTATTTTAAATATTTTTATAAGTGTATGACTGCGAGAAGTATTGACATATCAAATTTGAGCCTCATGTATATGAAGAAAAATAAATTAAAATACTTTTTATGTTACTAAAAAATGGCACTTGATTGCAAAATATTGAATATTTAGGACTATTTTTAAATACAAAAAATGAAATAGAATTTATCTATGAATTTTCCTTATATCAAAGGGAAAAGTTTATATAAGGTTGCAACCTTAAAATGTAGAATCACGTATGCATCTCAAAAATCTATCAAAAATATTGTTTTATTTTTTAAAAACCCTCTTAATTGATCATCTCGACATCGAGATGTATGAAATATGAAAAAAAATAAAAATAAAATTTGAATCCCATAAATAGTACATCTTGCAACACATTATCTAGACAGTCAATTTTCAAGATTTTCATATATTTTATAGATCTACTTGATTTTAAGCATTTTTAGAATTTAAAATTTTTTAATTAGATATAAAAATGGATTTTAAGATGATCCTAATAATTTTTTAGAACAAAAGTACATGATAAATTTGGAGGTGCGCCTTAATTGGATTGTTTAAGGTTGCAACCTTATAGAAACCGCAACCTATATCAAATGCTTTATGCAATGTTATTTTCTTGTGGAAAAGTATGTCCGTTACTATCGCATGAAAGCTCAGCCCAAAATTTCAATTTTGGAAGGATACATTTGGCTTGCCGACCAATAGGCATGGAGCCAACCTCTCGATGGGCCTTAGGAATAGTTATCCGAATCAAATCAGCTATCGAAAAAGACATATAAAAAAAGAGAAATTATTATCCTATAGGACCTTTCTCTACCCATATGGGTAGGACTTCAAAATATCACCATTAAATTTAGCACGGATCTATGGAAAAATCAAATCCCACACCCATGTGATAACTTTTTTAAGAGATCCGTGTCAACTTTAATGTAATCTTTTGGAGTCCTACATACATGGGTGGGGAAGGTTCTATAGGATCATTACCTCCTAAAAAAAACAAGAATAATAATCTAAAAGTATGATCTCTTGTTTAAAATGTTGAACCAATCAAAATAGGAAGATATGACCAGCTTAAATAGATTTAATACTGATTTTGACTCCAATTAAATTATGTTTTTATTTTAGACTAGATTGAACCAAGTGGTCTAATTCAGTCTTCATAACTATAGCTTAGGTACTGTTCTTTTGCCCCAATTTTGTCACATACTTGGGCATAAAAAGAGATTATGAAAAAGAATTTGTAAAGAAGATTCAAAAAATAGTTTTAAAAAAAATTATAGTAAATACGAACAGTGCACTGGAAAGAACGAAACAATATCATTAAGGGGTTAGAATTTTTTGTTTGACCTGGAAGTTTTTAAAATTTTTGTCATCACCAAATGAACAATTTAAGAGAAAAAAAAGAAAGAATATCATTAAGAGGTTACAACCTCTTATAAAAAAACATTTAGAGGGTTAAAAGATCTTAATCAATTTTGGAGCGTTTACTTTTTCATTTTATTTCACATGAGTACCTCTAAAATTATTTTCAAAAATACCAAAGTTATCGTTGTGCTAAGACAACCCTGAACAAGCAGGGACGGTTCAATAATTTGACCTCCCCTAAATAAGCAAGGGTACTCTTGTTATTTTATTCGAGACTCTTGCTGTGTAAAATCCTACTATTAGGGTCAGGTCAGTCATCGAATTGGCAACTAGACTTGTCTTGTCGAATTATAAAGAAAAATATTAGTTATTTATCTTTGTTTAACTAATCGAACCAATCAAAATTGACTAGTCAAATTGGTCAAAACACTAGTTTTGAATAAGTTTTTGCTAAAGCCAATTATTAGTTTAAACCAGACCAGCCAAAGCGTTGGGCGACAATCTAATTAGTTGGACTACATGTTCGGTCTGGTCTTGATTATGTTCCAAATTATTAAAATACCCCCAATCCATCTTGAAAAGAAGTAATTTTTTTAAGGAGGTAAGTGAATGGTGTGATAATAAAGAGTAAACCTTGTAATATTAGCTAAGATATTTTGAACCCCTTAATCATTTTGTACAAAGTGGCCCCTTGATTAGCACAAATTTTGATATAAATTTTCTCAAAAGCTATGATACATTTTAATATGTTAGATTTCACATCTAATGGTAAAGAAAAATTGTGGCATTCTTGTAATAAAAATGAATGGTCTTATAGTATACAATCCCCCCATAAAAATAGATGGCTTGTGCCAATCAAATTAGAAAAACCATTTTCAGGATTTTATACTTTGGACAAGACTGGCCAAAAAATCGATTAATGGTCCACTTGGTCGGACTACCAACTTGGTCCGAGCTGATAACTATACTTCTTCAACGTTACCAACTCCGAACATGGCTAATTTGAGTATTTTTAGGATAATTTTTAAGGAGGTACTTGAACAGGATGAAAAATAAAAATAAACTCCCTAATATCAGTTGAGATATTTTCAACCCCTTCATATGTCTATGACCTCTTAAATGATATCTTCCTAAAAGTTGATTTTAAAAACTAGCCACGCCATGAAATGGATTCCCTGTGCTAATATTAGTTAAGGAAACTATTTTATGCCAATTTCTTTTAATGGGCTTCTTATTTTAGGGCGAGATGATGTGAATGCAAGGGGGCGAAACAAATGCCCATTAGGCCCCCAAAATGAGGAGGGTGGAGCAATTTAGTCCATGGTTATCAAGACCGGACTAAACAGTAATTTGATTGGTTGGACTCTGAATTAGTGTCTTAGCCAATCCGATCCAAATTAAAATCGACTTTGCTTAAATATCAGTCAAAACTAGCGTTTGATTGATCCGGTCAGCCCATTTTGACCTATTCGACCAGCCCAAACAAGGTTAGGCAATGTTTTTTTAAAATATATGGTATATTTTTACAATATTATTCATATTCTTTTATATTTTAAAATCCAATCAAATTGATTCGACAGGTAGTCAGACCAATTTTGACTAGATCAATTCCCTCACTGGGTTGATCCTGATAATAATAACTACGCCATCTATTAGCTAAGTTGGTTTAACTATAATTTGGGGGTGAAAAGAGTGTCCTTGAGTCCCCAATCTGGGGAGTGCGCTGGAATTTAATTGTGTGTTGAGTAAGTTGGTTGAAGTATGATCAGTTACATAAACTTACATGAAAACATTTTGATGACTATTGATGTTTTTATATCACCTTATCTCAAAATAATAACTTGGGAAAAATATGATTATAATGATGAAAATGTTTTAAAAAAACGAACTAAGGTAATCATATCAACCAATTTATTAATAAAGTGGTTCCTTAAGAAGATCATTTTGATTTTCTTATATCATCTTATCTCAAAAATAGTAATAAAGTGGTTACTTAAGAAGATCATTTTGATTTCTTATATCATCTTATCTCAAAAATAGTAACTTGGAATAAAATATCATTATAATGGTCAAGATGTTTTAAAAAAAGCAACAAAGGTAACTATATCAACCAATTTATTAACAAACTGTTTACTTAAGAAGACCATTTCATTCAAGTACCTTAAGTATTTTTTGGAAATGCCTAAAATTCTCTTGATTTAGATTTGAAATAGTCTTGAACAAACAAAGTTATTTGGATAATTTGACCAAGAAATACATGGACCAAAATCTTAGTCTACCCCAACTTGTCAAAGATCCCAAACCTACAATAAGATATTTTACAAGAAACACATTCTAAATTTGAAATTAGGAACAAGCAGGCGGTAATTTTGTTATTTAGGTTGAGTAACTTAACTCACGCTGAATGACATAAATTGTTTGCTTGTTCTTGGTTCAAAACACAGAATGAGATATTTTATTGAAAATATATATTCCGGGTTTAAAAAATAGAAGAAACAAGTGCATTGCATCATTCGGCTTGGGCCACTTAAAAATGAATAAATTACCAAAATACTCTTCCTCGCTTCAAGATTCAAAATCTGAATCGAGGATATCTTGAGTAAATTACAAAAACATTTCGTTGTATAAATTTGAATCTCACTTTGTATGATAGGGTTTCAATTTTGTAGTCTTCTCCAACCTCTCATTATGATCACACTCTTATTTTATAAATGATGGATCGACTGCGGGTTAGACTCTAAAACCAGCAGGACATGT